CCCAGCTCAAACTACTGCTCGAGTGGATCAAAACCCATTTTGAACATGACATCGCAGCCCACAACAGATGCATGGCTGGAGACCTCAGAGCGATTGCGTACGAACGCTTATGGACACTCTTCCCTCCTGGAACTATTGTCTATAGCAAGTTGCTCGAGCAGCACCGGGCTTTCCGTGTTCTCGAAAATTGGTACGACAACAGTGAACTGCTGCCGGGATTGGGCATGAAGGTCAACTTCGTCGACTTCGACGGAGAGAGAGTTGGGACCCGCCGAATGGAGTTGTTCATTCCAAAGTACACAGGAACGCAGGAACTCAGCGAGCTCCCAACCATGCCGCTTGAGCTATTGAAGGATGCCACCGAGGTCCGAGAGGAACTCTCTGCACGTGGCAGAAAGTTTGAGGGCTATATCGGGCAACATTTTGAACAGTACAATGGCATTGCGCTCAAGAAGACCCAACAAGGTTACGCACGATTCAATGTCACGGGTCGAGTCATGATTGACTGCAAGACCTACCATCGGTTGGAGGCTAATGACTCCTTCCATTGCAAGGAATTGGTCAATGACGATGCAGCCAAAAGGGATCGAGCTCGGCGTAGGGCAGCCGGAAATACCGACTTCGTGTCAGAAGGCATCAAACACGACAAACTGTCAGAGGAAGATGTCTTGCTCACCAATGCCACGGTACGCGGATACACATTCACAGTGAAGAGATTTCTTGAGTTCTTTGTCGACCAGCTATTCCCAATTGACTGGAATAAGAGCTGCTTCGATGATCTGGTTCTCGATTCGAGCATCAAGAAGACCGTCCAGGCTCTTGTTTCTACGCACTCGGAGAAGCGCGAGGGGTTTGATGACATTGTCAAGGGAAAGGGTCAGGGGCTAGTTTGCGTCCTCCACGGGCCACCAGGTGTCGGCAAAACCTTGACGGCAGGTAAGATTCCCAAGTTTCTTTCCCCTTTTTCTACATTCCAAACACTTGGCAAGGGCTTCTAAGCTATCAACCCGGGAACCCTAGCTTGTGACTTAAAGGCGCTGGAGTTCATTTGTGTTGATTCGTTTTTGCCATAGAATGCGTAGCGGAATACGTTCAGCGGCCACTCTACATGGTGTCGTCAGGCGACCTAGGAGTGACAAGCTCAGACCTAGACCACCAGCTGACACGGATCATGGATATGACCTCGACATGGCGTGCCGTATTGCTCATCGACGAAGCAGACGTATTCCTAGAGAGGCGGTCGCTCCACGACCTCCACCGTAACGCCATGGTCAGCGTGTTCCTACGGGTGTTGGAGTATTACTCAGGCATCCTGTTCTTGACCACGAATCGCGTCACAACATTTGATGATGCGTTCAAGTCACGTATCCACATCCCAATCCGATACACAGACCTCTCCGTCGAGTCACGGACGCAAATCTGGCGCAACTTCTGCAAAATGGTCCCTGGGGGCGTCGACATCAACGAGCGCGGGCTTGCCATTCTTGCTGAGCATGACCTTAATGGCCGACAGATCAAGAACGTCATCAAAGCTGCTGAGAGCCTTGCGGTCTTTGATAAGGTCAAGTTGGACCTGAGGCAATTGCAGCAGGTCACCAAGATCCAGGCTACGTTTGAGAAGGACCTGACAAGCCTGAGCGGTGTGGACTACACTGCACCTGGTGCGTCGAGGAAGGATGCCGATAGCCGGGCTATGTTCTTGTGATCGCGGATGGGGTCGGTCAGAGGTTATTGGTTCAATCATAGATTACATTGCATAATGTCATGTGGGTTCGATACGGAATAGTGGCGTTTTCGTATGTCTTTAGCCGTTAGTCCTTTCGTTCATGTGGGGATGTTGAAGACTATAGCAAGATCATGGCGTGAAGGGTGGGATTGCTAGTCTGAACGTCAGACGATGTACCTTTGCGTGCATAACTATTGAATATCCGAATTACCGTTTGCGGTCTCTCCTCCAGTGCGTTGGACTGCGGCCGGAATTGTGTGGGTCGTTACATCTGGTCACGAGAGGCCTGTACCGTGCAATGAAACAGTCTTCAGCGACCCTCTACTACAGTGGACTTTCATGATAATCTTGATGTAATGCTCTAACTGACCCTTGAGGTTCTTGACTATTATTTAAACATAAATATACTCTACTCATTGGGGCGGAGGCTGCGGAGCTTAGACGAGAAGCTACCAAGTCTGTTCACAGAGGTCCTCCTTTTGATCAAGCCACGCTCAATATACTATACGCACTCGAAGTTCTCCAGAAATAGATATGGCTCGGTCTTCCGCTTTTCTCGGAGCTCCGAACCGACTGCCGGACTGGGCTTGCGTACCGTAGGGCCTCGAACACGGTCCCCAACCAAAACTCAACTGAAATGCCTCAGTGCAGTGTTACGCTGCAGCGCTTCCCTATCTCCGAGGCGACTCGAACACGGAAACGTTGTATACTGCCACCTATGAGGGGGCTTTCAAAGTGGATATGAGCCAAGAACATGCACGCGTGGGAGAGCCGTGTGCATGTCGTGGGTGAGACTATTTTCGTTTTGGTTTCCCAGCTAGGAAGGTGGCGGACACCTTGGTTGGCTGGCTGTGCCTGGCCATGGCTGACGACAATCTAATCTGGCCTTGGCAGATTAGCCAAGGTAACCTTAAATCTGTTCGGCCAGACGCCGTGCATCGCGGGATAAATCCGTTAGAGGTATACAACTCCGTATGTCGGCGTGGAGCAGTATTAGACACGCCCTATCGATGTGTAAGTGGCGATCACTATTCTTCGTCGATTGACATGTTGAATATTCCTATATCTTCCGCTTTCCTCGGTAGAGAGAGGCGCAATGTGCGTTTCGATCCACGGCCGTCTGTCGCATACGGTGCTTATCAAGTAAGAGATTATGGCGGGCTCCATCATATCCTCAATAGCCACGGCGGCGGCCATTGCTGTCGTGTCGTTTTCATCGACTGTGGGATCACTTACACCTTTAAGCGACGTCTGTGCAACGATATCACCCACTCAGAGCGCGATCACGTTGACCACGACGAGTATTGGCGTCCCTCAGCATCCATTTGGGATGATATATTTAGACAACAACATCGCGTTTGCTGCTATGGAACGCAATCTTGGAGTGCTGGATACGTCGAAATTCAAACCAGTACTGAAGTACACGATTCCCCTCCCATCCACATATGTAACTGGCGATAACAACCCGGCCTCCGACGGCTACCAGTTTCACGGGCTGACTTTGACAAACGACAAGAAGAATTTATATGTTGCTATAGGTTACGGCGCTGTGATTTTCGACACAGCAATGGCAGTCGCTGGCCGAAACGATTCGGTTGTTGGTCTTCTAAGCCAGAACGGCCGTGCAGGCAACAACTCGGTCGAGATCTCGATCACCCCAGATGACAAATTTGTCTTCCTTAGCCAGGAATTCGGAAACAATGCCACCTACAACAGGGGGGCCATCGAGGTCTATAAAGTGACCAGACATAACAATGGGACAGTGACAGGGGAATACAAGGGATTCATCGTGCTCGGCTTCGCGACAGTGAGCCAACAGTTCTCCCCGGACTTCAAGAAGCTGTTTGTGACCAGCGAGGTGGCCACGGACGCAGCGAGCACGTCAGAAGGATCAATAAGCGTTCTCGATGTCGACAAGCTAAAGACGACACCCGGGAAGGCGTTCCTTCACAAGGTCAATGGCGGATGTCACCCCGTGCGTTGCAAGATCACGCCCGACGGTAAATACCTATGGGTCACGGTGCGCGAAGCGAACCAGCTCCTTGCGTTCGACGCCGAGAAACTTGCGAAGAATCAGACGTCGGACGTGTTGGTGACCACCGTGCAGACCGGCACTTCTCCCGTCGGCATTGCTCTCATCGGGTCGCACGTGTTGACTGCGGACTCCAACAGATGGGGGTACAGCAATACTACTACTGGCATTACCGTCGTTGACAGCATATCGGCACTGACAGATACGGTTGTCAACTTTCCGCAAATACGGACAGGCCAATTTCCCAGAGAGTTTGCAGTGAGCCCGGATGGAAATACGCTGCTTGTTGGGGAGTATGACGCGTTGCGAGTTCGCGCGGTGGATGTTAGCTCATTCAATAACCAGTGACCGGGGACGCAGATAGATGAGTTGGGATAATCAGTTCTGGAGGGGCTGGCACTGTGATGAAGCATGTCTGGGTTTGAGCACGGCATTGAACCGTTCCCGTAGCACCGAAATAATATCTATTCAAGTTCCTATCGCACTCTGCCGTGTGATGGGTGAACTACAATCGTGGAAGGAGGCAATCCTACTGTGGTCAATCCATACCTCTAAATATCAAGTGATTGAAGCAGTACAAAATTTTCCCGAGGTTAGCCAGCTTTCATTTTACTTGGATGACTCACTCTGAGTGGCCGATCCAACTCTCACAGGATAACTACCTCAGTTAGAGAACGCGCTGTTCCGATGCCCCGATTTGGCAGGTATAGGCCACCCCTTTAGGAGCCACAACAACGGGCCCGTGGCTCCTCAAGGCGTACCTGGCCATACTTCCTTCCCACAGAGGCGGCGGCTCTCTTAATACATATACAGGTCCCCGCTGCTCTTGCCATGGAGAATTCTGAAGACCTTTGATACCCTAATGGTACGCCGCAGCGAAGCAATTTGTAAATATGGACTACAGGAGAAACCCCTAAAGCGCCGCTTATAGCTGCTTGCAAAAGGGCAATTCGTCAAGTATTGCCTTACATCGATTGCGAGAACTGCATGGAACTAGGAGAATAGGTAAATAATTTTTGAACCAATCGTTCAGAGTACATTCTCTTAGGCGGGGCTTGTACTCTGTACATGTTCCGGATTAGGTACCTATCTACACAGTCGCCACCCGCGGGTGAAATTGCCGGGTTGTGGCCCGTGCAGCGGTGCTAAATCCTCAATTCTGTGTTTGGCCGTGTACTGCATACCATAAGATACCGGCAAAATTTTCAAATCTCTATAGCCTCGGTGATAGGAGGTCAGCATCCCCTGATAGCTCAGTTGGCAGAGCGTAGGACGTTCGTGCACCCCTGATGAATAAAATCTCTGTCACCAAACTAACATTCAAACAGTGTAATTGTTAAATATATCCTCAGGTCGCCGGTTCAAATCCGGCTCGGGGGAACATCTTTTTCGGTTTTCTTAATCTGATGGTTTTGTCTTACAGTTCTTGTGACTATTTTTTTGGTAGCTCGCGCCGGAGGACCAGTTATACCTCTCTCTAAGCAGTAATGTTCTATAATACTACCTTGACTTATAGCTATTGCGAGCTAACCTAACGCCCGTTAAATACAGCTTAAGCTGGGCCAGAACAGTTTGAACAATTTGTAATGCTACCTAATGTAGTATCCTATTCGTGGTTTGGGTGATCATTCCTAATGCGGAAGGACCCCTTTAGTAACATTGACTGTGATTGTTTCGTAGCTTTATCCTAGTGTCGGTAGTCGGTCCGGTAATAAGACCGGGGAGGAAACTATAGAACACTACGATATAGATTACCACAAAACCCGTAATCTGGGACCTGGGGAATGCAGGTTCGCCAAGGATCACGGAGACTGAACCTCCGGAAAGTTGGAGGAGTGTAAATGTCGGTTTCCTTTACCGTTGTGCATGTTGCAGCCGAACCTGCAAGCAGCATCGTCTTTGTTCAATCGTCGTCTAACATGCTTGGGATTGAAGAGATAGTCCTGAAGCCGACTTGGTCAAGCAGCTGTCTGCCCCAGAATACGATGGAAGCAATTAGCATCCTACCAATCTACCGGAACGAATTGAGTACAAACATTGCCGCTGGACTTTGTTGCCACCTGACTCCTCTCAATATGCCCCGATAATAAGAGTTCCATCACCTAAAATAGAGTAGAAGCCCGGCGTCGTCAAAGCCTGAGCTGGACCCGCCCTGATGCTCTATTGTCATCTTACTACTAGCAGACCACTGCTGATCATGAACTCGTGATCTTATCATGCACCGGCCTAGTGGTTTAGTTATCAAGTGGCTACGGCCTAATAAACTTTAGAGTACTACGACTTGATGAGGCAGGCTTGGCCATGTTCGTCATATCACCACGAAGATCGATTGCCTCCACATTTGATTCACCGTTGGCAGAACTGTAAACGGACCGAATGTGATTGGAATAGCTTTTCTTGTAGGCCATGAGACGAGCAAATCTCCCAAGCTGATATATTGATTTGTTCGAGCACTCTCTATATGCTGAACCATCCGTCCGCTATTAGTATATGTAATATGTATCGTATCCATTCACTATTCAATAGTCCCAAGTCTGTTCGACTGAAATGCCGGTCCCGACTCGACTTTATTAGCGCGAAGCCACGACGTCTGACTATTCGGACCCCAGTCAGCTGGCATGCTCGGTCTCCGAAGGGTCTTCGCATGTACGGCGGTCCTAATTATTGCAACTCTACAGGGCCGTGGACGTTCACCGTCTGTTGCGACGATAGCTCCGCTGGGCCGGTTTGCGCGAATGTGTGTCTCTTCTCATCGTGATTAACCACCATACTCGATGCATCCCAGTGTTTTCGTTCGTTTCGTCGCCTCTTCAGCAAAACACAGACTGAAATGCCGCTAACAATGGCGATGAGCGGCACTCCCAGCCCAATGCCTACCCCGACTCCCATTTTGACTGTTGGATTGCTGTTTTCACCACTATGTTCACTGCTAGTTGATTGCGGCACACTGGTAGGTGACGTAGTCGCCGCTTCCGGTGGCTCCGTGGTGGGGTGTGATGCATCTATTGTCTGGGTGGAGGATGTCGTCGCTGAGGCTGATGATGATGATGCAGTTGAACTACTGACGAGTACCCCGTCGTTGTTGATGAACACACCTAGCCCATCCTCGCAACAGGTAGATTGTTGGTTGGAACAACATAGGCTCCCGTCACTACACACTGTTACTCGGGGGAACAGGTTTGCGTAGGCAGTCTCGTCTATTACAGTGTGTCAGTTCAGCCCTCTTCACATGTTGACGTACCGCGTAATGAGAACAAGTTGTCAGGGACCAACTCACTGTATACGCAAACTTGTGCGCATGTCTCAAAGTCGTATTCCTGGCTCGTGCATGGCCCTCGAATCAATACTCCGTCTGGCACTTTCGGACTGCGACAGAGGCGGTTGCTCAAGCAGGCATCTGGAACGTCGGCACTACAACAAGCGTTCGAGCCGGGACATTGCACCTGATCTGGATAAGGCAGACCGTTGACTCCATAGCAGGTGATGTTACTATCAGCCGCTTGGGCCAGGGCAAGAATAGCGAAAATGACGAGCAATAGAACACACATTGAGGACTTTTGATTAGAGAAACATACAACTAAGGTATTTGTGTAGCAATGGCAAGAGGGAAAAATTAGGTAGGGGAAGAATTAGAGTTGTATGATTGACATCCTACTTGCTCACTTATCACAAACCGTTGTTCAAGGCAGGAAGATGCGCGATCTGCAAGCGCTAACCTCACAGGACAGCAGCACCTGGCTGAGTGAAACGAGTTGGCTGTATTTGCTCATTTCTTACCTGATCTTTGATTGGTGTCAATGCCAACAGGCCTGAAGGATGGCCATGACCTTGCTGCTTTTCGGAAGGATTTGTTGTTGGTTCCAAAATCCGCTGCAGTGGAGTTGCTGTTCTGTTTGACTGGCTGACATTCGCGCTCGCTACACTGTGTGTGCGCATTGGCCACGATGTGATTGGCAGCTTGGTTTGTGACCCCTGTCTATCACGGCATTGCTGAGGATTTTAAGCGCTGGGCCGGTAAGTAACTACTCTTTGCCCATTTCCCGAGATCATCGGGCCGGCCACGATTGAAGAGCATTGAGCCGACCTTTCGATTTAGACGTCACTTATAAGCGCCCGTACGGCGTAGGCGGCGGAATCCAAATGTTAACAGGGGGCGCCCATCCACCGCCGCATAACGGGCACGAGTACACTGGGTTCTTACATGCTTCTTAATTTTATAATGCCATTTCTTTCTTCAGAATTGACTAAATCACATCGTCTCGTGTACTTGTGAGTATTACTATGATCAGATTGACAATGCCTCGGCATCTGCCATCATATCGTGTGTTGCGCAACTTCAGTATTACAAGTATTCTGTTACTCGTGTTTGGCCTTGTCCTACGATTGTATTCACACTTAACCGCATTACCGTCGAGTTCTTTGAACCCCTCATCATTATCAGCACCTCTAAGATGGACGACGGAAGACCAAGGTCTAGGCATGGAGGATATGATCAGTTACTTCAAGCGCACGCAGGTATCTCCAGCATATACAGAAAATTTCGCCGAAATGGGACAACGAGCTCGGATACTCCGCGAGTGTTTGAGAATCATCGACGCAATGCTTCCATCTGCCGAAAGGCAATCGCAGCTTGAACTCGTCGAAAATGCTGCACTTAGGGATTTCCCTTTCCTGAACCGCCCAGGCCTGGATATGTCAAGCACGACCCCCTTGACTGACCTCCGAACGTCGTACGACAACGGGTCCAAAGGCATTGTCATTCCGACTGGCGTGAAGACATTACGCTCTACTTTCCACCTCGTTATCACATTGCGGGAGGTCCTCAAGAGCGATATGCCTATTCAGATCGTTTATGCTGGGAACGAAGACCTGCATGAATTTCAACGTCTTTTGCTAGGTTCGCGTTTTGATGGCCTCGAATTTCTTGATATAACCACCTTACTCGACGTTGATAGCCTGGAACTGGATGGTGCTAGATCGGCAATCAAGCCATTTGCAGCGTTGGCGAGTACCTTTGAGCAGGTCGTCCTCCTCGATGCCGATGCCGTCTTTCTCCAGCCACCTGATGTGCTTCTCGAACAGCGAGCGTACAGAGACAATGGCCTTCTTCTCTTCTGCGACAATCTAGACCAGCGGCATACATCTAGTGACTGGCATAACCGGTGGATGTCGCAGACGTATCATCCAAGAGATTATCTCCGGAGATTCCTGCCTCAGACAAACCGATCTCCCAAAGAGTGTGATTCTGGCGTGGTAGTGATCGATAAGTCACGCCCAGATAATCTCGTGGGGCTTCTTCACGTCGCCTGGCAGAGCACAGCATCTGTACGAGACGAGACCTTACGCAGGAATCCATACGCTGCGAAACAACGTTGGTGGCTTGGTTATGAAGTTCCAAGCTGGACTCCCTCTCTTGACAGGCAAAGTGGGGTGATAATTGGGTGGTTGCATAACAAGACTATTGGCCGCCTGTCTCGGGTATGCAGCGCCTTTTCCGGTCATGTCGACGAGGATGGTACTCCTCTGTGGTACCATGGCGGGCTGGTGAAACTAATGAGCGATCGTACAACATATGAAGCTCCTACCCACTGGATGATACATGGGTCATGGGAAACAAGTACGGATAGGACTGGGGTAGATTGCATGGTAGGAAATAACGCAGAAGTGTTACCATCTGAGGAGACTGCCATCCTCTTCATTTCGATAGCAAAGGCACAGCAGGTGGATCTAGAGTTCGGGCTTAGATGATCTTCATTAATGATAATAGGGTGCAAAGGCCTATATATGGGGTTTCTCTGCAAATGGGGCTGATCATGAATATTTCGAAAATATCTAAGCCATTGAGAACGCCAATCGGCGACGTTGACAATTCCGATATCCAAGCTACCGTGGAGGAGATCAGAGATGACAATCATCATGAGAAGTAGCCCCTTTGGTTCGGTTTTATGATATGAGCACTCAACTTCTCGTTCTGATCAGACGCAATTCCTGAATCCATTGACTAGCTCAGTTCAATGTCAATGTCAAACACTACATCCTCTCTCTGCTACTCGGATATGGACTACACTCACTAAGTCAGTCCGTCTTCGATGGGTCGGTCTGGCTCCTACACAGCTTGGCCACATCCCAGCGCCTGCCATTGCCATCACCAGATAACCCAACACCTGGGGTAAGTACCTAGTTGAGTTCAATGCTTGAACATATCAGTGTTCAAAGGAAAGAAAGATAATAAAGAAGAAAAGTCACAACCCATATGCAACAACTGGAAAACGTCAGCCGATTGACCGGTCCGCAAGTGTTCAACGTCCCATGGGTAGTTGGCAATACGGTATTGTCGCGATTTCATGATGTATATTCCAAAGCGACTCATTTTAGTGTTG